GGTTGCAGCCATCATTGTTGTTTGGCGGGCCCGGGCTGGGGATTCGAACCCGCCACCTTAGGTGTATGTGGCTGGCACCTTAGCCGCTTGAGCCACAGGCACCGAGCCACCCTTCCTCCACTCTTGACTAGAACAATTCAATTTCTTCTTCTTCAGCTCTCTGCCTCGGAGAAGCTGTTTACAATCTCCTTTAAATCATGTCCCTCCCGCTCTTTTCTTTTATGATACCGTGTTCACAGTACTTATCACAATACATGATTATTTATTTATGTGTTCATATGTTTAATAGATACTCCCCCTTAAGGCTCTGAGCTTCCCAAAAGCAGGGATCGTGGCTGTTTTGTTCACCATTATTTATACCATATTACAGCGCCTGGCACATGGTAGGGTTTTTAAAATATTTGCTAAAAGAATGGATGAACTTTAGAAATGAGAAGGAAAACAGGCAGAAATTTCCCCACTGCTAACTCAATGTCTCACAAGTGACATCCTAAATAATACTATCAAACGAACACGAGGGAACATCTGTCACTTCACATGAACAACTCTGCATTGCTCTCCTTGGTTTTAGTCATTTCATTCCATTGCCACAAACAGATTAGGGGTGTTTATTCCAGAACCTAGAGTGAACTCAGTCTTCAGGGCTGAGCTTCAGTTCCTACCCTGGAGTGGGAGGTAGCAGGGTTTCCGGTAAGGCCCGTATTATTGCTGAGGGAAATTCTAAGAAAGGAAAAACTTAACCAATAACGACATTGCTCAAATTTTCCAACCTGTTACAAAAACCCTAAATGTGCTTAGGAAGCCTAAGGGAATAGAAGCAAACACCAACTGCTTGTAGTCTGTGAATTATAGCTCAATATACTCATCTATATCATGTATGTCTCTGCACCCAATTATCTGGCCCTTATTTCTTTTTAATAACCTAAATTTCCATTGGCAACCTATCTCACCATCCTACTACATTTTCAGTTCTTCAAAATATCTAACCCTTTATAATATCCAAATCCTTTCATATGTAACTGAATTCCCACTGGAATCTTTAATAGATGCAAGAACATGACCCCTCATCACTGACAGGACGTCTTCTATGGGGAAGACTGTTACAATATTAAGTTTCACAGTATTTAGTTACACAAGAGCCTTCCAGTCCCCAGGCTGAGTAAATACTTGTTTTAAAATGCACTATGTTATTTCCTCCACATTTTGGTGCTCTTAGTATATCCTAAACTATGTGAGACTAGAGAGCTGAGCAAAGAATTCTACCTGTTGGTCATCTGGTTCTACCTCTCAGATTCAAGTCTGTTTTGTGTCATGATACTTAACTGACTGCCATTTAACTAAAAACTACTGTGAGCCCAGCTCTGCAACAGATGTAGAAGTGCAAAATCAATTCATCTCAATTTTTCCTAGCCAAAGGGCCACACGTTTTGCCCTATTAAATGAATCCTATCTTTACGTTAGCATCTGGGGTTTTAAAAGTGTGTGTCATCACAGTAAATTTGAGGTCAGCAAATTCTGAGGCAAGATAAAAAGCACATTCTCTTGATTCCAAATAAATGTGACAGATCAGGCTTGTCAAGAAAGCAAATGGAAATATTAATGACAGTTAGCTTCTGGACCCATGACAAAAGTCACAGTCTGTTGCAGGAACTCTTTGCTAGAGATTAGACACAGAAAGATACACATACAGACCTAGTTTTGGATTTTGTTTCTCATTTTTTAGTGTTTAAGATGGAGTCAAACAATTAATAACTAATTCAAATAACTTCCCTAGCCCAACCAGTTTCTTTCTGTTAAATGTCTGCCTGCCTCTTGGTGCATATTGTAATTCTGCAAATCTCAGTTATCTCAGGCTCCCAGGTGATAAACCCCGGCTTCAGACAGGCTTAGTTTAACTGTGTTCCCCCACCACCCTGGAAAGTCCCAAAAAGCACTAGAAGGAAAGCTTGCAAATCTACCTAGAGGGGCAAAGAAGCCTCCTTCTGCCGTGTCAAAAATCATCCACTAAGCACTGTTTTCCTGCAAGTTGATACTGTGACTAAGTGGTAATCAGCCCAGATAAGGAGACGAGAGAAACCGCTCAGGATTACGTGGGAGAAGATGAGACAAACGAAGAAGTGGAGACCAGATGCTTCCTGGAAAAGACAGCTTAAGGAGGTTTCCTCTCTCACAAAGCAAGTACAGAGCCTTCTGACTAATCCACACACCAGAAACATCTCCCAAACATCAATAAGACCTATCAGCATACTCCCATTTACAAACGGGGAATCTTGGGGGTTCAGAAACAGAGCAGCCCAATGGTGAGTCAGGACCACAGCAGGCACCAGACCCAGGGTTCTGGAATCTCCACCTCTGGCAGGGAGATGTAATTTCTTATAAAGGAAAAAATATCCACATAACAAAGCAGATACACACATATTGGGAGGGGGCAAGCCAAAGGACAGCCAAGAGTGTCCATGGGAAGCTGGAAAGGAGGCGGACCCAAGGCTGTTTAATCAGATGGAAAATTAGCATTGCTTTGGCCCCTCCTTAGAGAACGAGCTGCTCACCTTATGTCTTGTAAGTTGATGCTGAGATACCTCATCCATCCTCACATCAAGGCTCTCTATTTTTATCTGATTTGAGTTCAGAAATGCCTATTCATCTTTAGTGAGATAAGGGCATCAGATATTCCATTTGCAAGCATGCATGCTGAAACAAACCCGCCCTACAGTAAAAGTCTAGTAACTACACACCTTCTGGCTTTTCCTGCCTGCCTCATAGGAGAAAGTCAAAATACTATGTATATCTAAAATACCCAACCTGTTGGGCTGGGCACAGTGGCTCATGCCTGTAATCCCAGCACTCTAGGAGGCTGAGGTAGAGGATCCCTTAAATTGAGTAGTTGGAGACCAGCCTGAGCAAAAGCAAGACCCATTTCTATTAAAAATAGAAAAAGTAGCCAGATTTGGTGGCTAGTCCTGCTTGAACCCGAGTTTGAGGTTGCTGTGAGCTAGGCTAATGCCATGGCACTCTAGCTCCATCAACAGAGTATGACTCTGTCTCAAAAAGAAAAAAAAAAAAGAAAGGCCAGGCAGAGGTGACTCACACCTGTAATCCTAGCACTCTGGGAGGCTGAGGTAGGTGGATTGCCTGAGCTCAGGAGTTCGAAACTAGCCTGAGCAAGAGTGAGACCCTGTCTCTAAAAAAATAGCTGGGCATTGTGGCAGACAACTGTAGTCCCGGCTACTCAGGAGGCTGAGGCAAAAGGATCACTTGAGCCCAGGAGGTTGAGGCTGCTATGAGCTATGATGCCATGGCACTCTACCAAGGGTGACAAAGTAAGACTCTGTCTCAAAAAACAAAACAAAAGGCCAGGTGTGGTGGATCATGCCACCTAGCACTCTTGGAAGGCTGAGGTGGGTGGATTGCCTGAGTTGGAGACCAGCCTGAGCCAGAGCAAGACCTTGTCTCTAAAAGAAAAATAGCTAGGCGTTGTGGCAGATGCCTGTATTCCCAGCTACATGAGAGGCTGAGGCACAAGAATCGCTTAAGCTTAAGCCCAAGAGTTTGAGGTTGCTGTGAGCTGTGACACCACAGCACTTACCAAGGGTTACAAAGTGAGACTCTGACTTCAAAAAAAGACTCTTTAAACATAAATAAATAAAATACACAAAGTGGGGCCTGGCATGGTGGCTTATATCTGTAATCCCAGTGCTTTGGGAGGCTAACGCATGAGATTCACTTGTGGCTAGGTGTTCGAGACCAGCCTGGGCAACATGTGAGACCCGATATCTACAAAAGTAAAGATTAGTCAGGCATAGTGGTGGATCCTGGTAGTCCCAGCAAGCTTAAGCCCAGGAGTTTAAGGTACGGTGAGCTGTACCAGTGCCTCTGCACTCCCTCAATGACAGAGCCAGACACTCTAAATAAATACAAAAATAAATAAAATACACAAAGTGAATCAATCAGTGTGATTCCTAAACTGTAGGGTGTAGGTGAGAACATGACTGGCCTGCCTATTTAGGGTCTAGCAAAGTAATCCAATAAGCAAATCAAGGCTGGCTTTGGTATATTTGAAAAGGTAATCAAACGGTCCACTGGGTCCGGCACTGCCCTTTCCAAACACCTTTGAAAGAGAATAAATCGGTAATACCTTGGAGTGAACTAGTTTTTGCCCAGCTTTTTCTGCGTAAGTGAGGCACAGTGACAGAGTGCTGGACTGCATAGCCACAGGTGAGCAACTGTCCACCAGTATCAGGACCAGACAGAAGAGCTGGACAAACTCCAAAGAAGAACAATGCCCAGTTTTGCAGGGCCAAAGCCAGACCCTGGCTCCCTGCGTCACTAGGAAATCCTTACTAATATGGGTCCCAGGACACACACCACACTGTCCTAGCATTGTTTCTGGAGGGGCAAATTCTCACCAACACCCTAGGCAGGTTAAGAGCTGGAGGTAGGAGTTAGCCATCTCAGGGCAGCCCGCATACGCTGTCCCTTCCCCCAACAGCCTTCGTCCCGCCTGGGAATGGCCCTGCTCCCTGGGTTAGCCTTTCAGGGCCGGGGGTGTCAGTGGTTTTCATGCTTCCAGTTTTAATCTTCCCCGCGTCCTGGCCCACTCCTTCTCAGCTCAAAGTGTGTTGTTCAGTCAGATATTCAGGAGGCCTTCCACCTAAGTTATGGCATGTACCATGTACACTCTACCTACCGGAGTAAGAAGAATCCGCCTGTCCACGTACAGTTTCAACTCATCAAAAATATATTCCGTGCTTTCTGCCTGCCAGGCGCTGAACGGCCTGAATACTCAAAAACGCCCCCAAATGCTGCCCCTGCTTCCAAAGAGCCCTCCTGGGGCGGGACAGGAGAATGAGAAGCTGAAGCAAGGAGGGATTACAATCAAGCAGAGGGGCTCCCTCTCTCCAAAAGCCTCCCTCTCTACGCACCCCGAGCGCTGCGCGGCGCCGAGGCCACTGTACCCGATGGCTCCGCGCCTCGCCCCTCCGCCCCCCGCACGAACTCACTGTGTCTTCCTACGGCCCTGGTCCCGGTGCAGCTCTCGCAGATCCACCTCGGCGCGGCCCAGGAACTTGTCCAGGCCGAGCAGCGCGCGGTGCAGCACAGTGAGCTGCAGGGTTGCAGCGTCGGCCGGTACGGCCCCGGAGGACAACAGCGGCGGCAGCTCGAAGGTGGCCTCCTCCCGCCACACGGGCGCACCCAGGCTGCGCTCCGACACCGAGGTGGCGTACTTCTCCTTGCCCACCTGGATCACCGCGTACGCGTCGCTCGTGCCCCCGGGGCCCTTAGCCCGGAGGCCCCGTGCTTGCATCACCGTCACCTGCACATGGGTTGGGGACCACACGGCCCCCGAGCCCCTGCCAGCCGAGGCCGCTAGGGACATGGTGGCAACAGCTCAGACACCACCAGAAGACTGCCGCCACCCGCGGCTTCTACAGCCCGCCCCGCCGCCCCGACCCCTTTAAGGCTTCCGGCCACGCCCACTTCAAGCCACGCCCCAGACCCGGCCACGCCCCACCTGCCGCTCCAGACCCGCCTCCGCGGTGAGGGCTGTGCAGGACTCCGGGGCGCGGGGGGCGGGGCTGGTGCGGCGGGGTCACGTGGGCAGGGCGGGTCTCAGAATTCTGCCGGGAGTAGGGATAGGTGATTGATGGGCTCCCAGCCGGCAAAGGTTGGAGGTCAGTCATACCTAATTGCTAATGTCGTCTCGCCTATGAGCAGGTTTGTGGCCTTGCGCTGATTACTTAACATCACATCTTAGTTTCTTCACCTGAAAAATGAGAAAAGTCACTTCATGGAATTGTCGAAAGAAAAACAAATAGGAATGCGTTACAAGTGCCTAGCGGAGTGCCTGGCACGGGGTGAGTTCTCAGTAAACGGTAACTCTTGAGGGTGGTCTTGAAGATACCCGCACTTCACTGCCCTTTCCCACTTTGGCTGGCTGGAGGCGCTGTTCTGGGAGAAGGTGGGTGCGGAGGAAGAGCACATCTTGTCAAGCCCTGAAAAGGGGAAGCACGTGGGGGTGGGGGGGGTGAAGTTTTGCCCTGTCTCACCAAATAAGGTGAGGCTGAATTGGGAAGAGAAGAAAGGAGGAACTGAGAATGGGATTACCAAAGCAAGCCCCAGGACCAGTTGGGGGGGCAGCCCCGCAGTTCCCCATTTCTGCCTGGCTCGGCCCTTTTCATTTCTCCTTGGGCTCCCACTCAGTCCCTTCCTTGTTCCAAGTGTCTATAATAAATTGGTTACTTCCCTTCATTTCTCAGGTCTTAGTCCAAAGGCTCAACTGTTCTATTTATGGGCATCAGATTAGAAAGGTCACTTCGAAGGCTTTTAAGTTTTACTATGAAGGAAAGGCCCAGAACAGAGAAGGGACATACAGGTTCACGGTCCCACTGTAGAGCTGGGACTCAGATGCCAGCACCCTGACTCCCGATCTGGTGTTTACCGTATCTATTGCTCCTTCCAGATGTGCAGAACCCCTATCTTGGATTGGTGGGGCTTTCCCACCTGGTCCTGGGCTCTCCTCGCTCCCCGCTGACCTGCTGGAAATCCTACAGTGTTGCTTCACCACCAGTGTGGTAACTTCATACTTGACAGAGAACCCTGTCTCCAGAGGCTCTCCCTCCCTTCAGGCCTTTGTTCACCTTGTTGTCCCCTTGGCTATCCCTGCCATCCTCACGCTGCAAGGTTTCCCTCACATTTCCCCAAGATAGGACTTTCTGTGGTCTCCTGGAAGGCAGTGGCCAGGGAGTGACTTAGTCCTCTTGTCTCCTTGCTGGGTGGTTCCTCCTGGCCGGAACCTGGGTGTGCAGTAGGTGACTCAAGAATGCTAGTGAATTGGCTCGGCGCCTGTGGCTAAAGTGGCTAAGGCGCCGGCCATATACACCTAAGGTGGCAGGTTCGAATCCAGCCTGGGCCCGCCAAAACAACAATGATGGATGCAACCAAAAAATAGCCAGATGTTGTGGCGGGCACCTGTGGTCCCAGCAACTTGGGAGGCTGAGGCAAAAGACTTGCTTGAGCCCAGGAGTTGGAGGTTGCTGTGAGCTGTGATGCCACCACACTCTACCCAGGGGGAAAGCTTGAGGCTCTGTCTCAAAAAAAAAAAAAAAGAATGCTATTGAATTGAAGAGTTTGTGCCAAACATGAATAGTACAATTGCCCTTTTGTCATGTAAGAGATTAGAAGACAGATATATGCAACTGAGGTTTGCAAGGAGGCTTCCATAAAGATTTATTGAGAACTTGTTTTGTTCCAGGCCTGTGCTAGGTGCTACTGAGGGCACAAAGCTGAATGAAACTCCAGGTCCAGGGCCTACTTCATGTAAAGGAAGCCTCAATTATTAAATGCTTTAAGTGTTTTGAGGAGAGAGCAATTTGTCTACCAGAGTGGATTTTTTTTTTTTTTTTTGAGACAGAGTCTCACTTTGTCACCATTGGTACAGCGCTACAGGGTCTTAGGGTCTTAGGTCACAACAACCTCAAACTCTTGGGCTCAAGCAATTCTCTTGTCTCAGCCTCCCAAGTAGCTGGGACTACAGGCGCCCACCACACACCTGCCTATTTTTAGAGACAGGGTTTGTTCTGGCTCAGGCTGATCTCCAACCTGTGAGTTCAGGCAATCCACCTGCCTCAGCCTCCCAGAGCGCTGGGATTACAGGAATGAGCCACTGCACTCGGCCCCTTAGTAGGTGGATTTCTATGAAGGGAATGGCATTCATAAAAACAAATGCTAGGGGCGGTGCCTGTGGCTCAAAGGAGTAGGGTGCCCGCCCCATATACCGGAGGTGGCGGGTTCAAATCCAGTCCCAGCCAAAAACTGCAAAAGAAAAAACGATTGGCAGCTGGACAAGGAGGAGCTACAAGGCTGTTTGTGTTCATTCACCCAGCTCTTCCCACAGTGGCAACTTGAAGCTATATCAGGTTTGGCGGGCAGAGGGCAGGGGAAAAGCATTTCAGGAGGAGAGAACAGGAGACCAGCCTAAGCAAATGTCAGGGGCCAGAAGGCCATGGCAAAGTTAAGGTCAAAAGCACCCTGTTGTGGCTGGAATGCAGAGTATTTTAAGAGGACAGAGCAGGAGTAGAAATACAATAGCCAACATGGGCTCAGATCACACAGATCATGAACCCCTGGCTAAGGAGTTTATACCAGGGCATTAGACCAGGTGAGCCAGCCTTCAGAGGCTTTTGAAGTCTGTGCTTAAGTTGCATGGCAGGTAGAAGCAGCAGGAGCCCAGCAGCCAACAGCAGAGCACGTCACAGCCAGATACCTGGGGACTGTCTGCTACCCACCCTTGCCCATCCTGGTATCCAGTTGAAGTTGGTACTGAGTCCAATAAGATGCATACTTTTCTCTTGGTTGGTCTACTCGTCTAATGTTCTACTATACCCCTGCCAAAGTCATAAATTTGGGGTCCGCAGTGACCCTGGGAGTAAGTTCTTCAGTTCTAGTTTCTCTCTCTCCCCAGGAGAGAGCAAGGAATGAAACCCTGCCAGCCTCCCAGACTGAGTATGAAACAAAGCGTCTCTTCTACTCATGGGAAGGATTAGAGGACAAGGGGGAAGGGGTGGCAGGGAGAGCCTGGGACCCCTGTGTTTTGAGTTTCCTCCAGACCCAAATAGATGCTAGTTGAGGCTGAGGGAGTAGGTTGGAGGAGGGCAAGCCTGCCTCACTGCCCGGGAGAGATTATGAGTCCTCCCCGTGTCTGACACTGGACAGTGATGGGCTTAACTCGGGAGTGGAGCTCGCTCAAGACAGGAATTGGAAATTTGTCAGAGAAGAGAGCACCGGGGGCTTCAGTACAGGTGCCCTGTGCATGCCTAGGGGGCTGTTTTCTGCCCTGATGCAGAACAGAGCACATTGTTCACCAAGACTCATGGACTCATCTGGGAATAATCATCTGACTTCAAACTTTAGGGACCCACAGTCTGGGCTGGGGGATGTATGGGCACAACAACAGGGCAACAGTGAGGCAGGCACCCTGCTGCCCATCTGCCCTGGGAGGACTCTACCTCAGCCACCCCCCACCGGCTCCTGAAGGCCAGGCCATCCTGGGCAGCTGCACCGGCAGGTTCACTGAGTTCCGGGAGTGTTTGTAAATACCTCCCACAGCCAGGGTGCAGTGAGATGGCTGCTCATTCCACCCACCCTGCCCCGCCTCCGGCTGAGACTGAAAGAGGAAAAGAGTTTCAGTCGGCCCCAAGGCCCCAAGCACGGGACAAGGTGCCCGGCAGGTTAGACTGGACAGGTGAGACACTTGGCCTCCTCCAAAAGCAGCAGAGCAGAGAGCTCCAGGACTCCAGCCACTGGCTTGGTGGTGGGCAGCCCAGCCGTGGGGTGCAGTTAGAGCAGAGGGGAGACACACAGTGTGTTGAGCCCAAGGGAAAGAATTCCCCTCAGTCAGAGAGTCTGTGGGCCATGCTGGGGGGACAGAGAAAAGGGTTTGGCTGCCCCACTGCCAGTCACTGCCCTCCAACCACCCCAGTCCCCCACCTCTCCACCCTCTAAGCTCCCCCTCCTCACAGAGACACTAACTCAGAGATCATCTCTGGGATGGAAACGAACTCCAGATAGGCTAACGTGTGCCCCAAGTGAGGAACAGGAAGAGGCTGGGAAAGGCTGCCCGTCTTTCTCATGTGCCTGAGACTCGGGTGTGGTGACAAACGTCCACTCGCAGTGATTCATTCAGCCAGCTCTCAGCAAACAGCCATCCACCTTCTTCATGGCCCCCTGCCTCAGCCTCCTGCCCACTTGGTTGACCATGACTACCTCCCAGGCTCAGGGCTGAAGCAGTGAGGGGTGGGAAGAGACCCGTCAGGGACGTCAGACTCTCCCTTCCCCTGTGGCTGAGGCAATGTGGAAGTTAAAAACCGTGGCCCAACTGGACAGAAAATGATCTCACTAGGCAAATGGCTATTTCTTCTACAGACTTGCCGCTAGTGTGCGTTGTTTGACAAAGCCATCATCCTAGAGGACACAAGGTCTTATCTTTTCAATTTGTTGAGTCCCTCAAGGAAGACCCCTGGATCCTACAACGACAAGGCCATAGAAGAGGTGTACCTCTCACCTTCTTCTTTCCACACAAAGCCCCACGCTTCTCTCTCGGACTGCTTTTGCTTCCCAGTTGTGCCTGCCCTCTGATGTCGCCAGTGTTTTACTGTCCCTGGTACTCCTGGACTCCCCTCCCCGTTGTATTTCTACCTCCCCAATTCCTTACAGACAGAGGCAGTTCGAGTTAAGTAGGAGAGATGTAAGTGACTTGTACAGCATCCATGCACTCAGTCCCTGGAGCTGCCACCTCTAGCTCTATGCTGTATTTAGCCATTTTGCTTGATTTGGTTTTTTAGAGTCAGGGTCTCACTGTATGGCCAGAGTGCAGTGGCTGTTCACGAGTGAGATCGTAGCTCACTTCGTCCTTGAACTCCTAAGTAGCTGAG